CCACCGCGACCGGCTACTCTCAAAATCGCCGCGCGGCGTCGGCGTCGCCATCGCCCACCCCGCTCTGCCCCCCGAACGCTTTGCCCGCGTCCGAGCGAGCGGGTGAGCGGCGAGGGGAGCGGCGAGGGGAGCGTGGCCGCGTCCGGCTACTCCCTCACCCGGTTAGCTTCACCCCTAAACCAAACCCGCTCACCACCCCCGCGTCACGATTAGAACGACCACAGTTCACAAAAACAAAACGCGTCGCGCGCACGAAACGCTGTCAGGCCGCTTAAGCAACAAATAGAATCGCCCCGGCCGCTTGAAAGAGCCGCGTCACTTGTGACGAGCGAGCGAGCAGACAGCTGCCCGCATCCGCTTGCAGAGCAGAGCGAACCCCCCCGGGGGGGGTGGTACGATGCTGACGCGCAAGCGGCCGCTCCCGCCGCGGCGTGGGGGGGGAGGTTCTGGCGACGATTGTGCCGAGGCCGCCCGTGGAGCCAACGAGACGGGGCGCGTTGCGGGCGACTTGGGCGCGGCGACGGGAGGCGGGTGGGGATCGAGCGTGCGCGCCGATTGGACACGGGCTGGTGACCCAACGACGGCACGACGGGCGTGACGGGGCTCGCAGGGCCGAGGGGGGCCGCGTGGTGGTTGGACAGCGGAGGGCCACTGGGTTGAAATCCGCCGTCGTTTGTGCGCTTTCCACGATCCCCCTCCACTTGGGGTCGATTCTGAGAAAACCCGAGTTGGTGAACAGCGCAGGCATCTTTCGATTTAAAGCTTTCGTGACTGCAGGGATTCATCTTCTTGGTTCTTTCGGTAAAGTCACGTAGAAGTCGGACTCTGTCGCCTCGACAGACCTGGTTTTCACCGGAAGACGGCTGCTTGCATTGTGGCCGAAACGTCGTGAGAATGATTTTATTGTGTTTTTTTTATTATTTTATTACTCCCCTTCTACGTGACTTTACCGAAAGAACCAAGAAGAAGAAAAAAAGCGCAGACATCGTCGCAAGACGACCGCCCCCGCCCCCCACCCCCCACCCCCACCATGCAACGGTTGCAGCTCGCTAATGGACGCAAAAGCAAAGTGAGATTTAATTCCATCGTTACAGTCAACTAACAGCCACACCGCCCCAAATAAAACGACATGGCTATGGCCCCCCCCCCCACCGTCCTCCCTCCCACCCACCCCCACAACAACCGTAACTTCTCCAGACGTGAGACCAGGATACAAAAACAAGACGACAGCGCATCGACGAGACGCGGAGCAACGGTGCGTAGGCACGGTGGGGTGTGTGGGGGGGGTGTGGGGTACGACGGGAAAACACGACCACCAGGTGCGGACCACAGCGAGAGGGGGCAGGGGTGTGAGAGATGGGGGTCGGGTGTGAACCGGGGCAGCCCACAGCTCGTGGATAGGCTCGGACGACAGGCGACTTGCCCAAACGGGAGACGGGGGGTAAGGTGTGAACATCCGCGCGAGACGGGGCAAGTCCAAGGGGCGCACGTGGGCAGACGGGGCAAGCGAGCGGCTCGGGCGAGAAGACAAGAATGTTGATATAAGACACGGACGGGTGGTGGGGAGGGGGGGGTCAGGTGACATTGGGGGGAAGAGAAAGAGTCATCGAATAAAAAGCCTGAGGTCAAGAGGCTGAGAGAGCGCGCGATGTGGCATCGCGCGCATGTCTGTGACGCGCGGCACGTTTGGTTTTGCGCGCCGTGACGTGCGCGTTTGTACGGTGCGTGTGCGCGTGTGGCGTGCGATAGGTTTGGCTCGGCGTGGTGCGTGTGGTGCGTGCGTGGCGACCCGCGTGTTCCCATGCGGTGCGTGTGGCACCACTCGGTCGCGACGCGTGGTTGCGGTGTGGCTGGCGCCGTGGGCTGGCGCCGTGGGCATGTGCAGCAGTGTTTAGTACGACTCTTGCTCTCCCTCCACCTCGTCTTCCGGCACCTGGAATCCATCCTGCACGGAGGGGGGTGCGAGGGAGGAAGGGGTGGAGGGGAGTGAGAAAATGGTGCCAGAAGTTTACACCCTCACCTGGTGTATAGGAGGTCGCGGGTTCAATCCCGACCCTGACACGTGTACATTTGGAGTTTGTGCATCTGCCTCCCCGCGGTTGTTTCTTTTTGTTTGCATTTTGACTGCTTGTGTTGTGGTTATTGCAAACATGATGCCTTGTATAAAGGTGTCAGTTTTTGTACCAGTTGAAAGGGCGTTCAAGATGTGCTTGTGTACGAGTCGTGGTCGTGGCTGTGCGCGGTGGTTTGAGTGCGCACACTCCGTTGCCAAGCAGGATGTGGTTGTGTAGGGGTCACGGTTGTGGCTGTGCAGCGTGTGTTTGAGTGCGCACTCTCCGTGCCAAGCAGGATGTGGTTGTGTAGGGGTCACGGTTGTGGCTGTGCAGCGCTGTTTGAGGTGCGCACTCTCCGTGGCGATCAGGATGTGGTTGTGTAGGGGTCACGGTTGTGTCTGTGCGTCGGTGTTTGAGTACGCACACTCCGTGGCGATCAGGATGTGGTTGTGTACGAGTGACGGTTGTGCGGTGGCTGTGGCCATGGTCAAGTCCTCAACCTCCGTGGCGTAGAGGATGTCGCAGATGCTTCGGATGACGGGCATCTTGTCAGCGGTGCTCTGACACAGAACCTCGATCTCGCGCAGTTTTCCAAAGTAGAAGTCCCGCTCCTTCTCCAGCGTCTCCACTGTGGACTTCAAGTCTGTAAGCTGCAAGCACAGACAAAGATCCCCCGTATAGCCTCAAACAGACTGTTAACAGAGGTCGCAAACGGGTTTTGATTCTTACCCGTACCGGCCGCACCAGGGTCGCAAACAGGTACCCGTACCCTACCCGTACCCGGGTAAGGTACGGGTATCGGGTACCTGATTACGACCTCTGGGATGAAAGCCATGTTGCAGGGCTCGGGTGGGTTGATTCTAGGAACTTGAATTGTGAGAAGAGACAAGACGTGGGGAAATGAGTGACAAACGGTGACTCACCAGTGACTCACGGCCTACCTGTACCCGGCCGCACCAGGGTCGCAAACGGGGTACCCGTACCCGGCCGGGTACGGGTAGCCGGGTATCGGGTAGGGTACGGGTATCGGTAGGGTACGGGTATCGGGTACGGTTGCGACCTCTGCTTGTTAAGCGAGTAGCACCTCTGAAGGCTGGCATGGCACACGAGGGGGTGGGTGTCAACACCACGCACGGCCAGCTCTGTCTCCCTGATGCTGGTGATGTTTTACACACTGCAAACGAGTACTCATTTAAGGCCGAGATGATTTAGGGAGGCCCAGGGCTGCTTCAGATATTCCCTCACCTTGGCGACTAGTTGTGAGTGGGAATCGAACTCAGGCCGCCGGTGTTCGCATCGCAGTGCCCTAACCACCGTGCCACCGTTCCCGACACCGGCAAGCACACGCAAGTTCACACGTGCACGCAGGGACGTTACGCACAAGCGCACACATACGGTGAAAACCTGGGACTGCGAGCATGATTCGTTCCGGAAACGTGATCGTAATCCAAAGCACTCGTATATCAAAGCGAATTTCCCAATAAGAAGTAATGGAAACTCAGATGATCCGTTCCACAACCCAGGGTTCAATTCCCGCTTGCTGCATAGCACCAGTGGACGATATCTGAAACGGTCTTGGGCCTCCCCTAGATCGACTCAGCCTGAAATGATTACCTGGTGCGGTGTGTAAACATCGCCACTGGGGAGACAAAGGGCGGACGGGTTGGGTGCTGGCCACCCAAGCCCTCATGTGCCGTGCCGGCCTTCATAGGTGCTCGCTACAGCACTTGCCCCGACAGTCTGTTTAAGGCTACACGGGGGATCTTTGTCTTTGTCTGTTTGCGTGTGCCGCTGGGAGTGTGTGCACGTGTGTGTGTGCCCCTGCTGGTGTGTGCACGTGTGTGTGCACGTGTGTGTGCACGTGTTGTGCACGTGTGTGTGTGTGCATGTGTGTGGACGTGCGTGTGCACATGTGTGTGCGCCCCCCTGCTGGGTTGTGCATGTGTGTGTGCACGTGTGGTGTGTGGCATGTGGTGTGCATGTGTGTGTGCGCACCCCCCGCTGTGTGTGTGTGCATGTGTTGGGTGTGTGCATGTGTGTGGACGTGTCGTGTGCACATGTGTGTGCGCCCACCCTGCTGTGTGTGTGCATGTGTGTGTGCACTTGTGTGGTGTGCATGTGTGTGTGCATGTGTGTGTGCATGTGTGTGTGCGCCCCCCAGGACTGTGTGTGTGTGCATGTGTGGTGGTGGCATGTGTGTGTGCACGTGGTGTGTGCAATGTGTGTGTGCGGTCCCCCCGCTGTGTGTGTGCAGTGTGTGTTGTGCATGTGTGTGTGTGCACGTGTGTGTGTGCACTGTGGGTGTGCACGGGTGTGTGCGCCCCCGCTGTGTGTGTGTGTGTATGTGTGTGTGCATGTGTGTGTGCGCCCCCCGCTGCATGTGTGTGTGCATGTGTGTGTGCATGTTGTGTGTGCATGTGTGGTGGCATGTGTGTGTGCATGTGTGTGTGCGCCCCCCCACTGTGTGTGGGCCTGGCACAAGCGTCGTGGTGACATCACCGCCACTCAGTGGCAATTGGCAGTTGTCGTTGTTATTGTGGTGGTGTGGACTACCTGTTGGCCGAGCTCGGCCACCGCAGGGTCCTCCCCGCACCCGTTGCGTGACGCCGCCGCCGCCCGCCGCCGCCGCCCCCCCGGCTGGCAGCCTCCGGGGCCCTGCGCTGGCTTGGGTCGCTGGGAGGCTGCCCCCATGCGCTGGATCCGGCACTATGCGCGGGCTACGCACACACACACACGCGGGCAAGCAGCACACGTACACATGCATGCAGACACGTGCACAAAAACACACCAAACAAAGAACCCCGTATAGTCTTAACAGACTGTTGGGGCAAGTGCTATTCGGGAGCACCTATGAAGGCTATCGGCACGGCACACGAGGGGGTGGGTGGCCAACACCACACCCGGCCGCCTTTGTTTCCCCAGTGGTGACGTTTACACACGGCACGAGGTACGCAGTTGAAGCCCGAATCCAAGCGACCACGGGGAGAGAGACACGCAAACGCCAAATAGACAGCAGCAGGCGTCAGGGTGGGGATGGTACTCACAACCTCCTGCATACCAGGCGAGCTAGTTAACATATCCTAGCCACCGTGATGATGATGATGAGAGAGAGACACGCAAACTCCAAATATACAGCAGCAGGCATCAGGGTCGGGATGGAACTCACGACCTCCTGCATACCAGGCGAGGTAGTTAACATCTCCTAGCCACCCGTGATGATGATGATGAGAGAGAGAGACGCAAACTCCAAATATACAGCAGCAGACATCAGGGTCGGGATGGAACTCACGACCTCCTGCATACTAGGCGAGGTAGTTAACATCTCCTAGCCACCGTGGTGATGATGATGATGAGAGAGAGAGACGCAAACTCCAAATATACAGCAGCAGGCGTCAGGGTCGGATCGAACCCACGACCTCCTGCATACCAGGCGAGGTAGTTAACATCTCCTAGCACCGCAATGATGATGAGAGAGAGGAGACACGCAACTCCAATATACAGCAGCAGGGTCAGGGTCGGATCGAACCCACGACCCTCCTGCATACCAGGCGAGGTAGTTAACATCTCCTAGCCACCGTGATGATGATGATGAGAGAGAGAGACACGCAAGCTCCAAATGTACAGCAGCAGGCGTCAGGGTCGGGATCGAACCCACGACCTCCTACATACCAGGCGAGGTAGTTAACATCTCCACCAGGGCTCCCACTCGACTGCCGCTACGCATCGAGTTCTACACAAGCGCAGTGCGGACGGGCCGGGTCACCCGCGCTTGACAGCACGGTTCCCAGCCAAGGATAAATGCACCCTCCCCCACACCTCACCAGCTCGCAGTGACCAGCGTTGGTGAAGAAGTAAGGTCAATCCCCCGACACACCTCACCAATGAATTCCACGACACATAGGAACCTTCACCCATTAGTGGATTGACAACAACTGCTGCGATCGCATTTCATTAACTTCATCTCGTGCCGACTTTGCGACGGTGCGGGTGCCGGCGGCGAGCGACCGATTGCCCTCACCGGTTGGGCAGGACCGGCTTGCGCGTCTTCGGCGCCAGCTGCTCGACGCTGCCAGACGCCACGGGGCCCTGCATGCCGTGCCTCGCTCCCATCGGGTCGTACTCCTTGCCGTCGTAGTTGGCGTCGAAGAACTTCTTGAACCACTGCACGAACTCAAAGTTGTCCTGGAACTTGCTCTTCACCAGCTTGTCCACCGGTATCACCTGGGGAGTGTGTGTGTGTGCGTGCGAGCGCAGCACAAAGATAACAACTATTAAAACTAGTTTTATTTTAGCAGGTAAGATCCACTGACCTTACCTGCATCAACAAGATGCACCAACTGTTCTCTTTTAGCCCCGCCCCCCCCCCTAACACGTTCCACTGATTGGCTACCACATTCAGATAAGCCCCTCCCCCTTCCCTCCCCCCTTAAACTTGTATTTAAGAGCTTGACTCTTGGAAACTTGCCTCACTTGAGACAGTAAATCTGGCTGTGACGGTCCCACCACCTGATGACGGAGACTTGCGTTGCCTCCGAAACGTCGTGATTTATTATTTTATTTCTATTATTATTTCAATTATATTTTTATTATTTATTTTTTACCTCCGTGACTTTACCGAAAAATTTAAGAGTATGAGGTCCACCGAGCTCCACAGCTCTTTTTCAGAAGCGACCTGGCCACAAATCATGGGGGCTCAACGAAGTGGCTTATCGCGTCGAAATTCTAAGCTCTCCGATCTTACATTGACATGCAAATTTCTCACTTTAACATCACTAGCCCCGCCGACTTCGCTTAAGAGTCTTGGGCTACACACCCGTTTCAAACCTTCAAAACAGCCTGCCTCAGCAGCTTCCCCACTTTTTTTTTCTCCCGATGACGATTGCTTGCGTTGCGATCGAAACGTCGTAGTTTTTTGTTATTTTTATTATTTTCTTTGAACCCATCAACGTGACTTCAACCGAAAGACCCACGAATATGAATTCCTGCAGCCACGAAAGCTTCAAGTCAAGATTTGCATGATATTCATTCCAAATGTAGAGATGGAAAGTGGAGGACCCGGAGAAAACATGCAAACTACAAATAAACAGGCGTCAGGATCGGGATGGAACCCACGACCTCGTGGAATACTTGGCAAGGTAGCTATGAACGCTGGCACGGCACGAGAGCGAGGTGGTGTGTGGCGAGCACCACCACCGGCCGCCTTCATCTCCCTCGTGGTTAATTCCTCCTCCCACGTTGAGGACTCGATTCTCCCACACTCTTGCCTCATACACATCGGTCAACCGCCACACTGCAGGTCACACAACACTCATCCACTCGCTCACAACACTATAGGCCCCAACCCACTCATCCACTCGCTCACTGCACTGCAGGTCACAACAACACTCATCCACTCGCTCACTGCACTGCAGGTCACAACAACACTCATTCACTCATCCACTCGCTCACTGCACTGCAGGTCACAACAACACTCATCCACTCATCCACACGCTCACTTGCACTGCAGGTCACAACAACACTCATCCACTAATTCACTCGCTCACTACACTGCAGGTCACAACAACACTCATTTCACTCATCCACTCGCTCACTGCAACTGCAGGTCAACACAACACTCATCCACTAATTCACCGCTCACTGCACTGCAGTCACAACAACACTCATTCACTCATTCACTTCGCTCACCACACTGCAGGTCACAACAACACTCATTCACCTCATCCCAATCGCTCACTACACTGCAGGTCACAAACACTCATCCAACTCATCCACTCGCTCACTGCACTGCAGGTCCACAACAACACTCATTCACTCATCCACTCGCTTCACTGCACTGCAGGTCACAACAACACTCATTCACCTCGCTCACAACAACACTCATCCACCCCACCCACTCATCCACTCGCTCACTGACACTGCAGGTCACAACAACACTCATTCACTCATCCACTCGCTCACTGCACTGCAGGTCACAACAACACTCATTCACTTCATCCACCGCTCACTGCACTGCAGGTCACAACAACACTCATACCACTAATTCCACTCGCTCACTACACTGCAGGTCACAACAACACTCATTCACTCATCCACTCGCTCACTGCACTGCAGGTCACAACAAACACTCATTCACTCATCCACTCGCTCACTGCACTGCAGGTCACAACAACACCTCATTCACTCATCACCTCGCTCACCACACTGCAGGTCACAACAACACTCATTCACTCATCCACTCGCTCACTACACTGCAGGTCACAACAACACTCATCCACTCATCCACTCGCTCACTGCACTGCAGGTCACAACAACACTCATTCACTCATCCACTCGCTCACTGCACTGCAGGTCACAACAACACTCATCCACTCATCCACTCGCTCACTACACTGCAGGTCACAACAACACTCATCCACTCATCCACTCGCTCACTGCACTGCAGGTCACAACAACACTCATTCACTCATCCACTCGCTCACTGCACTGCAGGTCACAACAACACTCATTCAATCATCCACTCGCTCACTGCACTGCAGGTCACAACAACACTCATCCACTCGCTCACAACAACACTCATCCACCCACCCACTCATCCACTCACTCACTGCACTGCAGGTCACAACAACACTCATCCACTCATCCACGTCGCTCACTGCACTGCAGGTCACAACAACACTCATTCACATCATCCACTCGCTCACTGCACTGCAGGTCACAACAACACTCATTCACTCATCCACTCGCTCACTGCACTGCAGGTCACAACAACACTCATTCACTCATCCACTCGCTCACTGCACTGCAGGTCACAACAACACTCATCCACTCGCTCACAACAACACTCATCCCCCCACCCACTCATCCACTCGCTCACTGCACTGCAGGTCACAACAACACTCATCCACTCGCTCACTGCACTGCAGGTCACAACAACACTAATTCACTCATCCACTCGCTCACTGCACTGCAGGTCACAACAACACTCATTCACTCATCCACTCGCTCACTGCACTGCAGGTCACAACAACACTCATCCACTCATCCACTCGCTCACTGCACTGCAGGTCACAACAACACTCATCCACTCATCCACTCGCTCACTGCACTGCAGGTCACAACAACACTCATCCACTCATCCACTCGCTCACTGCACTGCAGGTCACAACAACACTCATCCACTCGCTCACTACACTGCAGGTCACAACAACACTCATCCACTCGCTCACTGCACTGCAGGTCACAACAACACTCATCCACTCGCTCACTGCACTGCAGGTCACAACAACACTCATCCACTCATCCACTCGCTCACTGCACTGCAGGTCACACAACACTCATCCACTCATCCACTCGCTCACTGCACTGCAGGTCACAACAACACCATCCACTCATCCACTCGCTCACTGCACTGCAGGTCACAACACACTCATCCACTCATCCACTCGCTCACTGCACTGCAGGTCACAACACATTCACTCATCCACTCGCTCACTGCACTGCAGGTCACAACAACACATTCACTCATCCACTCGCTCACTGCACTGCAGGTCACAAACAACACTCATTCCACTCATCCACTCGCTCACTGCACTGCAGGTCACAACAACACTCATTCACTCATCCACTCGCTCACTACACTGCAGGTCACAACAACACTCATTCACTCATCCACTCGCTCACTACACTGCAGGTCACAACAACACTCATTCACTCATCCACTCGCTCACTACACTGCAGGTCACAACAACACTCATTCACTCTCCACTCGCTCACTGCACTGCAGGTCACAACAACACATTCACTCATCCACTCGCTCACTGCACTGTAGGTCACAACAACACTCATTCACTCATCCACTCGCTCACTGCACTGCAGGTCACAACAACACTCATTCACTCATCCACTCGCTCCCTACACTGCAGGTCACAACAACACTCATTCACTCATTCCACTCGCTCACTGCACTGCAGGTCACAAACACTCATCCACTCGCTCACTACACTGCAGGTCACAACAACACTGACACTCATTCATCTTCCATCCACTCGGCATCACTGCAGGTCACAACAACACTCATTCACTCATCCACTCGCTCACTTGCACTGCAGGTCAACAAGAACACTCATTCACTTCATCCACTCGCTCACTGCAGGTCACAACACACTCATTCAATCATCCACTGCAGGTCACAACAACACTCATTCACTCATCCACATCGCTCACTGCAGGTCACAACAAACACTCATTCACATCATCCACTCGCTCACTGCAGGTCACAACAACACTCATTCACTCATCCACCTCGCTCACTGCACTGCAGGTCACAACACACCTCATTCACTCATCCACTCGCTCACTGCAGGTCACAACAACACTCAGTCACCTCATCCACTCGCTCACTGGCAGGTCACAACAACACTCATTCACTCATCCACTCGCTCACGGCACTGCAGGTCACAACAACACTCATTCACTCATCCACTCGCTCACGCACTGCAGGTCAACAACAACACTCATTCACTCATCCACTCGCTCACTGGCACTGCAGGTCACAACAACACTCAGTTCACATCATCCACTCGCTCACCTACACTGCAGTCACACACACTCATTCACTCATCCACTCGCTCCCTTCACTGCAGGTCACAACAACACTCAATCACTCATCCACCGAGCGACGAGCTCACCACACTCTAGGCCACAACAACACATTCACTCTTCGATTTAAAGCTTTCGTGACTGCAGGGATTCATCTTCTTGGTTCTTTCGGTAAAGTCACGTAGAATTGAAATAATGAAATAATAAAAATAAAACATAGTAAAATAATTATTTTATCTACGTGACTTTACCGATAATAATAATAAAAAGAAAACATAATAAAATAATTATTTTATTGTGTTTTTTTCTTATTTTCTTATTTCAATTCTACGTGACTTTACCGAAAGAACCAAGAAGATGACTCATTCACCTCATCCACTCGCTCACCACACTGCAGGTCACAACAACAAACTTCCCCCCCCCCCCACTTTGGAATTCTCTCCCTTGCGCTACCCACCCCGTCAAGCACGTCAAACTCGAACCTATCGCAAGTTTGACGACGGTGCTGTTGTAGCTGGCCGCACGACGTCCTGGGCTCTCTGGGAACGTGCTCAGCAACGGTGTTTTTACAGAAAGGATCTTCTGGGTCACGGGAAACATGCCCTTACCTTGTCCACGCCCATCTTCTTGAAGGCGACTTGTAACAGCTTGAAGTTGTGCAGATATTCGTGCTCATGCTTGGCCTGGAACTTGGCCTTCTTGAGCAAGATGCAGCCGGGGAACAGCATGTCCATGAACTGGCAGTATGCCACACCTATACAAAGACAAAGACCCACCCCCCCCGTATAGCCTTAACAGACTGTCGGGGCAAGAGCTGTTAAGCGAGCACCTACGGAGGCTGGCACGACACACGAGGGGGTGGGTGGCAAAAAAGGTCCCATGATAAACGTTCATCGTACACAATACACGCAACACGATGTAGCATTATCACAACAGCACAAAACAAATGCACGTCCGTTAACTTATGGTAAGGAATATCTGGTGCACACACACAAACCCCCCACATAGCATGCATACAATGCACACATGACATCATATAGACAGCGCATCATTCTGCCGCAATTTGTCACTAAGTGGTGGTGACGTCACCATGGCGCGTGTGCCAGGCGCACTTTGAGGCCCCGTTAAGTGTCGATGGCTCGCTGGCAGGAGGTCACGGGACAGACCCAGGTGCAAGAGGCCAATCTTTACACCGCTGGTACCGGTCTTCGGCATGTCTACTCGGCTCGCATCAGCTCCATCTCTTCTCTCGCCCGTGTCATGCCTGTTTAGTCCTCTCTATCTGAGCAAACAGAAGCTACTTGGGCATGTGGTGGCTGGGCATGCGGGCTACATGACCCAGCCAAGGCAGCCCTTGCCTGGCGGAGGAACTCACCGATTGGGAATGTGTCCAGATCTTCCAAGGATTTGTGAGCACATACAACACACATGCCACTTCACGCGCTTCACGTATCGCGTAAACCCCCGCACGTACAACAATCTACACGTTCAAACATGCGACACGCACCGTGCAATGCACACACACCACACCGCATGTGTGACACCATTGACCTTACTGGCAGTTACTCCGACAAAACCTACCTCACAATAGAGAACACACAAAGCGTACACACAACAACGTTAGCTTTGCGTGGGCCAGAGGACAGATCTAAAGTGGTACAGGGGCATGGGTCTATTATATATGATGGCAGGTCTGGCGGGGTCAAGGGCAGGTCTCGTGGATGAGGGGGCAGATCTCGTAGGTCAGAGGGCATGTCTGTGGGGGCAAAGGGCAGGGCAGACAGGACAAGGACGAATACTCGTGGATGACATGGTTAGGTGGGGCAAGGGGTTCATCCGACACGGCAGGTCTGGCGGAGTTGGGGGGAGATGGGCGGATGGCAGAGGTCGCAAACAGGTTTAGATTCCTTACCCGTACCCGTACCCGGCTGCACCAGGGTCGCAAATGGGTACCCGTACCCGTACCCGGCCGGGTATGGGTACCCGTTCCCTACCCGTACCCTACAAGAAATGAGTGACAAACGGTTACTCATCAGTGACTCACGGCCTACCCGTACCCGGCCGCACCAGGGTCGCAAACGGCTACCCGTACCCGGCCGGGTACGGGTAGCCGGGTATCGGGTAGGGTACGGGTATCGGGTACCCGGTTGCGACCACTGGCGGATGGCCGGGTAGATGTGGCTGGTAAGACGTGGCTGGGCTGGTGAGGTAGAACTGTGAGGGCATGGGCAGGAGAGCGGGTAGCGATGGGTTGGCGGGGCAAGGCTTACCAGAGCAGAGCTGTTCGATCTTGCTGTATTGCAGCTGCAGTGTTTCGTTGATCCAGTTGATGATGTCGTGCCGGGAGAGGTTTTCTGTCGTCACAGACGTGGCGTGAACGTTGACGGCCATCGCAAACCTTCGCACGCACGACAACAGCAGCAGCGACAACAACCGCCGTTGAGCACTCAGTGGCGGCGACGTCACCCACGGCCGCTTGTGCCACGCTCGGTGCACGTTGAGGTCATGTGCAGTGTCAAAGACTCGTTGCTGGCAAGTCGTCACAGAACAGACGCCACGATGGCGAGATGTTAACTACCTCGCTTGGTATCAAGGAGGTCGCGGGTTCGATCCAGACCCGGACGCCTGCTGTATATGTGGAGTCTGCATGTCTCTCTTCAAATGGGTTTTTTCTCCGGGTTCTCTAGTATTTTTCCCTCCACAATTAGAAACATCCATTTCGAGTATTGGCTGCTATAAATTTCCAAATAAGCCACTTCTTTGAGCTATCAATTGCAGTTCAGTGGGTCTTACCTGGTAAAATAAAATTAGTTTAGTTTTAGACCAAGAAGCCATGGGTTTGACCGACTGAGATGAGTGGCAGATGCACCAACTATGCTCCCTATTGTGAAAACTGTGTTTTAGCCGCCCGGCGCTCCACTCGTTGTTGCGAGCGTCGCTCCTCTGCCCTCCATTGTTGCTGGAGGGTGAATGCTTCCAACACACACACACACCACACATTAATGCCAAGATGGAGCGAGAGGCAGAGGTCGCAAACGGGTTTTTGATTCCGTACCCGTACCCGGCCGCACAAGGGTCGCAAACGGGTATCCGTACCCGGCCGGGTATCGGGTAGGGTACGGGTATCGGGTACCCGATTGTGACCTCTGGCGAGAGGTGTGGCAAGCATGATGCCCGGCCAGCTCTGGCTCCAGTGCTGATAATTATAATTACACAATGTAGCATGTATTAAGGTTGAGTCAACCTAGGGAGGTCCAGGAGCAGTTCAGATACCTCTGGAATACAATGTCAGCTGTGACCAGGATTCGAACTCGGGTCACCGGGTTCGTGGCGTAGTGTGTTCATCACTTTACCACCGCTCCCCACAATACCCGCCACCCGCCACTGAGTGACGGTGATGTCACAACGGTGCTGGTGCCAGGCCAGGTGCACTTTGAGGCCACGTGAAGTGGCAAAGGCTGGCTGATAGGTAATGGGACAGACTCAGCAGGATGCCATGGGTTGACCGACTGAGATGACTGGCAGATGCACCCAGCTGTGCCCCCTACTGTGCCAACTTGCTGAATTTTAGCCGCCCAGCGCTCTGCTCGTTGTTGTGAGCGTCGCTCCTCTGCCCTCACTTATTGTTCGAGGGCACCTGCCTCCAACTGCCCAGTAACATCCTTCACGAAACGCGTACATGTATACATACACAGGCATACAAAGACGCGCCTGTTTTGCCCAACAGACTGCAAGGCTGTTCACAGTGTGAAGCAAGAAGGGGCCTCAAAATGCACCTTAGCCTGTCACAATTCAAGTGGTGATGTTACCATCACTTACTTGTGAAGGGCGACTGTTGTTGATAATAGTAACTGTAGTGGGGTGATGGTGGAGCGATGGTTCTGGGGGGTGCGGTGGTGGTGATGATAATAGTGAAGTTATCGGTCATGTTGGTGGTGGTGATGATCGTAATGCGGTGGTGATGATGATAATAGTGAAGCTATCAGTCATGTTGGTGGTGGTGATGATCGTAATGCGGTGGTGGTGATGATAATAGTGAAGCTATCGGTCATGTTGGTGGTGGTGATGATCGTAATGCGGTGGTGATGATGATAATAGTGAAGCTATCAGTCATGTTGGTGGTGGTGATGATCGTAATGCTGGCAGTGACGGTGGTTACGATGATGGAAATGAACATGGCGGTGACACCGGTGGTGATGATGGCGGCGGTGATGGTGATGCTAGCAGTCATGTTGACGGTCGGGAAGGTGAAGATGGTGGTGGTTATTGTGGCACTTATCCTGCAAAAGGTGGTAGTGGTGGCAATGATGGTGTTGATGTTGATGCTAGCAGTAACGTAAGTTGGCGTTGATGTTGAAGTGGTGATGGTAGTAATGATGCTCGGTAAGGTGGTGACAATGTTGATGATACTGTTGATGGTGACGGTGGTAAGGATGATGGTGGTGGCTGATGAAGACGCTGGTGTGATGATCACGGTGTTGGTGATGGCGGTGGTGATGTGGGGAGCGGTAGTGCAGCGGTTAGCACGCTGCGCTAAGAACCTGGCGAACCGAGTTTGATTTCCACTCAAGGCCAACACCAGTGACGATTATCTGAATCCGTCCTGGGCCTCTCCTAGGTATACTCAACCTCAAAATGAGTACCTGGGTCGATGCATAAACATCGCTACTGGGGAGATAAAGGTGGCCGGGCGTAATGCTTGCCACCAATCCCCCCCATGTGCCATGCCGGCCTTCACAGGTGCTCGCTAACAGCACTTGGGGTCGGCAAACCAAAAATAACAACGGCCATTTATTTCGAATTCGGTAACGAAAGAATTCCAATATTTCAAGAGCCGCTATGCATGCAATGTGGCGAATACGTCCTGACCCCCTGGTCTCAGCGATAGCGGGGATTTTTGTCTTGGCGATGACGGTGGTTGCGAGCGACCGCGAAGACGCCGATAAGAAACTGGGCGACCAAATGTGTACGTTCGCGGCCTAGGCAGGCGATGACCCGCATGGCGAGACACCGCGCACAGTAGAACCGACGGAATGCGTTCAGCGATGGCCCAGTTAACGGTGGCAACAGCTGCAGCTGCATTAAAGCATCGTCACCGAAGGCGAGCCTCACAGGAACAAACATTCTTACCAACGCACAGAGGGTACAGCCACCACTCGCACACATCCAGAAATACACAAAGATCCCCCCCCCCCCCCGTATAGCCTGTAACAAGACTGTAGGGGCAAGTGCTGTTAGCGAGCACCTACAAAGGCCAGCACGACACACGAGGGGGTGGGTGGCCAACACCACGCCCGACCGCCTTTGTCTCCCTAGTGGTGATGTTTAAACACCTTACCAGATACTCGTTTTTTTAGGCTGAGTTGACCTAAGGGACGGCCACGACCGGTTCGGATAATCGTCACCGGTGTTGTCCGTAAGCGGGAATCGAACTCGGGTAGTGGTAGCGTCACGTGCTAACCGCTACACCACCGCTCCCAAGTCACAGCCACGCACACATCTCAATACACCCTTTCACAGCCCAGTCCTGCACACACATTAACTATGGCGCAACACCATCTTCATACTTACAAAATGCATTCCCACACACCCACATCATCTACACATTTGTGCACACACCCACATATATACGCACTCAAACAAAGACAAAGATACCTCCGTATGGCCCGTGACAAACTGTTGGGGCAAGTGCTATCAGCTAGTAGCACCGATGAAGGCCGGCACGTCACACGAGGGGGTGGGTGGGTGGGTGGCCCAGCACCACGCTGGGCTGCTTTTTGTCTCCCGAGTGTCGATGTTTTTCAGCACCGCACCAGGTACCCCCATTCGCGGCGTGAGCGGGAATCGAAATTGTCCGCTGTTGTTGGTACGACTCCACTACCACTCCCCACTACACAATCTTACACACGCCCAATCAAACGTCCTTCTCTATGCAGTCTTATGCAGGTAAACTCTCACACGCTCACCAACTTCCACGTGGCACATTATTAAAAGCACATACGCAAGAACACCCTCACACATCGCCATCTGTATACACTTTGACACGTGCGCACGAAAAAAAAAGACAAATATCCCCCATATATTTTTCGATTTAAAGCTTTCGTGACTGCAGGGATTCATCTTCTTGGTTCTTTCGGTAAAGTCACGTAGAAGGAAAATAATAAAATAATAAAAATAAAACATAATAAAATAATTCTCCCGACGTTTCGGCCACAACGCAAGCAGCCACCTGAAGACGGCTGCTTGCGTTGTGGCCGAAACGTCGTGAGAATTGTATTTTATGTTTTATTTTTATTATTTTCCTTCTACGTGACTTTACCGAAAGAACCAAGAAGATCCCCCATATAGCCTGTAACAGACTGTTTGGGCAAGTGCTGTTAGCGAGCACCTATGAAGGCCGGCACAGAAACCACGCCCGCCTGCCTTTGTCTCCCCAGAGGCCCAGAACCGGTTCAGATAATCGTCGCTGGTGTTGGTGGCCGTGAGTGGGAACAGAATTCGGGTCGCCGGGTTCGTAGCGCAGCGCGTTAATCGCTACGCCACCTCTCCCCCATGCGCACACTCACTTGCACACAAGCACACTCGTAACCCACTCGGCACTTGAAGTTTTATACAAACTACTACAGCACTGTATTTTCTGTGTTGTATTGCAGTCACAACGGATGACTCAATCAAAAGGCTGCGAGTTAAATTCTTCACAGACCGGGTAAAATGTCGTTCTACTTTGTGTAAAGCCGTCGTGGCGATTTATAAGAGCACAGTGCTTGCGTCGACAGGAATGTGGAATTTACGCAGAGAGATGGGTTGATGGCCGATGGACAAAAATAATGATGGAGTGGCAGCCGAGGAATGGAATGCATTCGAGAGGACGTGCACGGGGGAGATGGAGCAATGGAATCAGCTGGTGCGCTACGTGTTGTTGTTATTATAACGAGAGGACGTGCACGGGGGGAGATGGAGCGATGGAATCAGCTGGTGCGCTACGTGTTGTTGTTGTTATAACGAGAGCACGTGCACGGGGAGAGATGGAGCGATGGAATCAGCTGGTGCGCTACGTCTTGTTGTTATTATAACGAGAGGACGTGCACGGGGGGAGATGGAGCAATGGAATCAGCTGGTGCGCTACGTGTTGTTGTTATTATAACGAGAGCACGTGCACGGGGAGAGATGGAGCGATGGAATCAGCTGGTGCGCTACGTCTTGTTGTTATTATAACGAGAGGACGTGCACGGGGGAGATGGAGCAATGGAATCAGCTGGTGCGCTACGCGTTGTTGTTGTTATAACACCGCAGGATCGTGACGGGTGGCGCGGAGGACACGGGGAGGCCTTCATCCAGCAGTGGATTGACAACGATGAGGATCACGGGAATGAAACCCAAATTAAACACTCAGAACCT